AAAATGACAACACAAAACGGATATTTGAAAAAATCTAGAACTTTAACTAAATAAATCAAGCCCAAGTCGGTCAAGTATGCTTTGAAGCAAAATCAAAACAGTAAATTTAACTCAACGAGAAACAATGCCTCTGTTCTTCTTAAATAGCGCGCGTTGGTAGAGTCCATTATTTCATTTAAGAACATGAAATCTTTAGATTCTAACGTTGTGGCAAGACCCACTGAGATTTTGATACTGGAGATTACTGTACACAGACTGCCCATACGAGAATGCTGTGAATTAATAATAATAGATAATTATTCTTCATACATACCTTGTGAATTTTTAGTTAAAGAAACAGGACTGTCAGTACTGGGTTTAGAAAATTTGAAGAGGCTTAAAGTGGAGTTGTCGTTACTAGTTTTTAAGGAAAATCCTGTGTCACTTAAAGATTTGAAAGCTACGTGTGCTAACTGCAGTGGAGGTATGAAAATTCAGTCTATAAATCTCCAAGTATAAGGACGTTCGATCATTTTAAAAGACGATTAATTCTTTATTGTCTTCGAGAAGCAGCACATAAGACATTGAACGATTTATGTGCAAAAGGTATAATTGAACCGATTCAGTCTTCAGCATTGGGTACTTCTATCGTTGCGCTATTGAAGTCCGATGACAAGACCCCTAGAATATGTGATGATTATAGATTAGCACTGAACTCCCCGTCTGTTGAAGCAGACGTGCATGACGGTAGAGGCTGAAGATATTCTAAGTCGACTCCATGGTTCTAAAGTGTTCTCGACAGTTGACTTAAAATATGCTTATCTTCAAATCCCTTTGAGTCAATCTTCTTTTATTTTGACAACAATTAACACTTCATTTGGTCTGTTCAAATACAACTCCCTCATGTTCGGTCTAAATTGTTCTGCAGTCATATTTCCGGAAGTGATGAAAAAAGTAGTCAGTGACCTTGAAATTTATCAAAACTATTTCATTGTTCATGGTTCTGATAAGGTAGTTCATGACCAGAGACTTACTACTTTATTGCGTCGTTTAATTGAGAATATTACGGTGAATTCAAATAAGTGTTCATTTTGTATATCTAGTTTATGAATAAAAAAGATTAGTTCAGCGAAGAGTCCTCCTTTCGGCGAATTCATTTTCAAAGCTGTACAATCGCAAATATATATACTTATTTTTAGAGGATGATAACAAACTTCTGTTATACATGATGACAGTGAGGTTAAATAAACAAAGGTATTAAAAACTATTTAGAACAAGGAAAGTTTAGTAATCGTTTGATTGTTAATGGCTTAAGTATTCATCAAAATATAGATAGTGGAATTATCATTGGAAAAGGATGGCTCAGCATGACAAGACAAAATGTTGAAATTGAGATTAAGTGTAATCAGGATGACCGTGGGAACAAAAATAAACCAGTTGGGAGTAGAAGATTTAAGGGGAAGATGGAGGGCGAAGCAGATGGTTGCAAAGGAAGAAGAGTACGAAAAAGAAAAAAATAACACATCAAGACCATGGTGGAAGACGTTGTACCAGCCTCTTGCACACACAATTCTGGCTTTTCAGATGTATGGCTGATGCTTCGGCAATGCAACGGAGATGCGGTCTAATTGTTTTGGGGAGACTTCTACTTACGTTGTAGATGACTTTGAACGCGGAGTCTGTCTTGATTGAGTGACTTTTGTTTGACTATTGAACTTCTTATTGAGCTGTTGTCTCCTACTTTTAGCCACGCCGGATAATGTTCTTGAATTCTTTTGGATAAAGTACGCATCGAACGACCTATATACCTATCTCCGCATGAGCAAGTAAATTGGTAAATACGCATTGAGTTGGTCAGATGCGATAATTTATCTTTAAAATTGTTGGTGAACAATGACCAACTGAAGAATACTATTTGCAAGGACTCAGAAATCCTACTCTTTAAGATGTATGCGGCTCTGTCACCCATGAAGTCGATGTTCATGTATAAAGTTTTCTTTTCTACTGTAGTTACTTGTGTTTTCGGCCTTGTGATCTTATCGATGAATATCAAAAGATACCTGCTCTTGATAAGTATCTCCTTTAAGAGTCCCAATTCTTCATCTACGATTCGAGACTACAGATTCTTCGTATTCTTATAGCGAGTGTTATTATTAAGTTTCTTTTTCGACTGATGAGTACCCAGCTGTGACAAGTTGATAGTTGGCCATTCCACATGGGTTTCCTGTAGATAGATCTTCTTAGGGTACCATCGTGACTTCTTGGCATTTCCACATCCAGAAAGTTTATTTTTTTTGTTTTCAACTTCTAGTGTGAACTTTACTGTTGGGTGACAATTATTAAATGTTTCTAGGAGATGACTCAAGTCATATTTGTTGTCAAATGATAAAGATATCATCTTCGTACGTTTTATACAAGTGCAGGTTTCCCATGATCGTTTTGAGTTGGTTGTTTTCTAAACTGGTCATGAAGCGATCTGCTAGTAATGGACCAAGTGGGGATTTCATTGCTATGCCATCCTTCTGTCTATAAATTACGTCCTTGAATGTGAACTGTACATTGCAAGTGCAAAGTAGTCATAGTTCTTTCAAATAAACTTCCGGTATTTCGATGTTAATCTCATTACTATTTACGTACTTGCAGATAAAATTAATGAACTATGTGAGTGAAACACTAGTGAATAATGATTCGACATCCAGAGAGCATAATTTTCTCATTTACATTCACTTCTTTTATGTGCTCGATACATTCAAAAGTATCACCTATGAAGTGTTTACAAATGCGATTTCTAACGGGTTCTAGATTTGCCAGCCAGTTTTTGATTGAGATCATGAACTGATTGATGTTAGACCACCGTATGAAAACCTGGACGGCCGTTTCGTCCTACTGTGGGACTCCTCAGCAGTGAGCGTCCACGATCCCGCTCGTAGGATTCGAACCCAGGGCCTTCGGTCTCGCGCCCAAACGCCTAACCTCTAGACAGCTGAGTCGGCGTCCAATCGTGTCTACCTCCAACCAAACCACGAGACTGCGCGAACATCCTTCATTGTACAGAGGTAGATACCTGTGTCTACCCGACACAGATTATCTAGTTTTGAATGTTTTGGATAAATAGTTCATGGTAATGGTTTTAGGCCAGATATGAAACGACTGGCTCCATTGATAAATGCACTGTCTTTAAAAATCGTACAGAACTACGTTCACTAGTGAGTGCTTTTTAATACGATTCCCGTTTTGTTCCTAAATCTTCTTGTCATTCCAATTGTTTCTTTAGTATTTTTATATCCAATTCATTTAGGTTAGGGTGAGGAACAAGAGTCATGCTTATGAAATCTATTGAAATTTCTTTAAAGTGATACTGTTCTTCGAACTTACCTAGTGTACCTTCTGTACTTATTACTGATGCATCACCTGTGGGTATTGGTGCAGTTTTGGAGCAGGAAGGTAGACCAGTTACCTGTGTTTCACGCAAACTTACTGTTACGAAACAAGGTTATCAGCAAAATCAGCGAGAAGCATGAGCTGTGTGGTATTATCAAGATAGCAAGATTATTGTTGCCTTCATCGTAGATACGTCAGTGTATTCAACTTTAATTGTCGTTAACACTATCCCATAACATCGTGTTTTTTCTTCATTAATCTACATTTATTTCAAATCGAACTTTAATGAAGACTTTTCTGATATGAAATATGTATTCCTGTTTGGTTTTTTCCGATATATAGTGTTTTTGTTTTGCTTTTTTGAAAATGTTAATTCTATCGTGTAGATGATTACTGACATTCGCGATAATTAGAATCAAATACTAATTAGATGAGGGAGTGGAACATTTTAGACGGATACGATCCGATTAGTATCATTGAAAGACATGGTTACTTAGCATTCATACATACTGTATTGACATTTACGTCATTTCAAGTAAAATGTTCATTTGACATTGAGAAATATAAATAAGAATATCAACAATAGTATTTTGACCTTGAAAATGAGTCCACAATAATAATGATTGTCTCAGAACTTTGACTTTACTAATTACACAGGAAAATGTAATACTTGACTACATTTCAGTTTCGCTGTAATTTTCACCAACTGTTTATACACTTAAATGGATACTTTTCTTATTAATTACGGTTAGTCATACATAAATTTAAATTGTGGCAATCTCCCTTTGAATAATAGTAAAGCTAATCTGTTTACACTTCATTAAAGACCACTTTCCTTTTAAAGGCTTGACGCGCGTATTCTTAACAGTATCTATTTATACATGTCGTTGACATAACTTAACACATGTATAATCCTGGAAGTATATCGCTCACTAGTCTATGTAAATACAATTTATACGTAATGTAATTAACTCATATCAACATTGCTTAATGGCCTTAAGCAACTTTCTTTATACTTTCAATATTCCACATGGTTTCATGCAGGTTGTTTCTGTTTAATATGTCAGTATATTTAGTTGTTTTATAAGAGTAATTGACGTAGTGATCCCCAGCTGATTCAATTAATCATGTCAAAAATATTTAATTAAGCTACAGATTACCTCTCATATCCAGTAGAATACATAATTTATATTCTATCTATTATTACTACGTTTACAGATTGGAAACGGAACGCCACGATAATAATTTACAATAGAATTAATAAACCTGAACTATTGTAGAATTATAACAAACGGAATTTGACTTTGAACTTGGTAAATCTCAAATTTCAAAGAGCAGGAAAAATTAAAACCCAGAGACCACCCTTCTTCCATTGACAGCAACCGCCAGAATAACCAATGAAGTTCCAACCACTATCAATATCAAGCTCACGAAAGCTAAAATGAATTTTCAAAGCCTTTCAAGCTGTTCAGTTGGTAGTTATCAAGTACATTTAAAAAGTATCACATGTATTGCTTTAACATAGAAAACGAAATTAATAAGAATTCGTACAGACATTTGTACATATTTTGAAAAATCAAAGAAAGAAAATGATCAAAATCTCTCATGCGATGGAAATTATAGTCACTGAATAGTCCAGGTTACCGACGTTTAGATAAACCGACACCGAGACCAATCCCTAACAATGCAGCCGCTCCTAAAACAGCACCACCAACAACTGCTAAACCAGTCAGGCCATCTAAAATAATAAATTTTCATATAATCCAAGTGAACTGGCTTGTCAAATTACTTTGCTAATAATCTTGTATAGAAACATGTGATTTACACGTACAAATCATTGGAATAAGTAACTACGTGTAAAATATAGTAGAAGTTGAAAGACTTTCGAACTACTTATACTGAAGTCTAAAACTATATGTGGATTTAAGTTGCATAAAGTCACATAACTATATTGCTTAAAAACGACTTTACAATCTGTCATCATATTTGAATTTCATATAAATTCCAAATCCAACTTTACTCTTCACTACTTGAATCATGTATGAATGTAAGAGGAACTTCGATGTCTGGAACTTCTTCAAAACATAAAACACTGTGGGATATATTCATATCATTTAACCACAAGATGTAAGACAATCCAGTAAGCTGACCGTCTCACTTATCTGTCCCACCAACCGTGGTAAGTTGGTAGATGACAAAATTCCAGACTAAATATTAATATGCCCGCTCCGATCCCATTAAAATACCCCATGTTTCCTAGGTGGCATGCCTATTGGTCTATCAAAAGGCCAATATAATACGTAGAAATTTGATTTGGATTATTCCATGATTGTAAGACATGAACTTTGGAAATGAAGGACATGTTATGTATCGTCCATGTCTTCTAATCATTTCACATATATGACAAAACATATCGATGAGCAGTGTTGGTGCTAGGTGAAGATTGTAACTTATTAATGAATATTTGAGCAATTATTTAGTGGGTTGATTAAGATTTATTTGAAGTACTTCAACACACAACCTGACAAGGGGCTCTGTGATAGTATAGAAGTTGGTGGAGAAATAGCTGAGTATATAGACAAATACATTAGTCGAAGAAGTTACTGAATATTGGTCTCAGTAGGACAGGGAAGTTCAGACATTTTAGTTATGACCGAAAGCATAGGATGAAAACATCAGGTGACCTATCTCAAAACCGGTGGCAGTGACACGGACGCACTTATCTTCTATTTTCCGTCCGAATTTCAAACTTTGATTTAATTTCTAATCAATTCTTAGGTTTCCTTTTTTATTTGCTTTCAATAAATTTCGTATTGCAACTGAGGCATCTTGTATTATCTTTAATGAATAGACTCCTTACATGATGTGGCAAACTGGGTTGAAACAAACCGTAACCCAGATAAATAAAATAAATGCTTGCTAAAACCATATTGTCTTCAAACCTTAATTTCATGAAACACTATTTTAGATGTGCGATTGGTGAATTCGGTCACTGGCAGACCCCATGGTTTCGCAATGGGTCATATCAGTTCAAAATTAGTCTTCATTGCCCCATTATAATAATAATGTATAGAAACAGACTACTTCAATAACTTGGATGGATCAACCGTAGTAGTTCGGCAGCTAACAGCCTCTGGACAAGAACATCAACGTTCACTTGAGTGTTAACTAACGCCCATGACCTATTATACACTTTAGTTAGTTGACTACTTAAAACGCCACTACTTAACATTCATTTGATCTAATCAGTGAATGAGAAATTTTGGACCCGTGCAAAAATGGAACAAAGTAAACAAAGTCATTAATCTCAACGGTAAGAATCTGTTCACTTATTTTAATCTAGACATTTTCTCTGTCTAGTTATGGTGTTGCAGAGTATCATAAATAGGACTGAAGTATCCGAAGATAATACTCTGTTTCCATACACTTTGGATACGAACAATTATTTACCTCTTAAAAACATGGAAAGTCATGGGTTTTAAATATAATCATAAATCCTTGCGTCAATATACAAACGACAGTGTGAAAATAAATTCAATAACGTTCCAAAGTCCAAATATTACATACACTTAATCAATGTAGACTTAGGTAAAAACGTTTTTCGATACCTCTTTTAGCACGAGACTGTATTGTATTCCTTAATTCTTTGACCTGTTGGTTTGACGGTTGTATCACCAATATATTATCACAACACCGAGTTGCGTTTTCATAGTCCTATGAGGTGTTACGTAAGCAAACGCACTTACTGACAGCTTAGTGTGAGCTACTGCCAAATAAAACAAACAGTCACGCCGTAGACTATCATCTTTTGTGCGATTAAATAATTCTGCAAGTAGTATTATTTTACTGGAACAAACCTTCTAATAACTTAACGGAGAGATTAAGTGCCTCTTTACGAGTAGTACGGAGGAGGTCAACAGCATAAAGGAACTGAACTCCATCATCCACTATGCCACTTTCTGCCATGACAACAAAAGCATCTCTTGATTCCTGACAGAAATTAAATATAAAACGTCAATTACTTGAATGGAAGATATGGGTTCATTCTTATCAAGCAAATCCATGTTTGAAGAATCTCGTTAAATGATTTTGACAACTATAATGATAAATAAAGCCGTGCGTCACTTGTGACCAAAATCTCAACCTGTGAAAAAAAAGCCGGTATGAGAAAAGAATGAACGTGTTTATCTGACATGAAATTCATTTAAAACTGAAGATAGCGTAAAACCTAGTTAAGTACATTTTTGAACGGTTTTCATCGGTGAAAAAATACTGCCTCTGATGTAGAGGCATTTATAATGTATAAATATGGTTTTAAAGAAAATAGAAGTGGGTCAACTTTGACAGCAACGTACCATACACCGAGTGGCTTGACAGGTTAGCAAACTCTAAACTACTTTACCACGAATTATGAGGTGACTTGGTTACGACGTGTAGGATACTGAGGAACGGTTTTGGACCCGAAATATTTTCTCTTGTCCCCTATTAGTCTATGACAACTGAGAGGACATAGGAGGTAAAATCGAAAGCCAATAACGAAAAGAATCCGTGTAGTGTACAGGTTGTTTTACAAACTAGTAAACTCTCATCAGACAGTGATGGAGTAGAAGTGTTCACTTTTTTGACTGACTCATTCGCGAGACTAGATATATACAGGAACACGAAGTTCAGTCCTAACATAATTTGCATTTTTCAAGCTTTTGCTGTTTCCTTACGCAACAAAAGCACCCTTTTTGATCCAAAGAATCTGTCCTAAGCTCAACGTTCGGTAAATTACTTTTCTTTTTGAGTTTCTCCAAAGTTAATAGTTGACTGTAATTGTACCTCAAATTACTATTCCATTTTTCACGTCAAGGCTAGTTTTAGTTTATCTTAACCTTCTGTACCATCCGTTTTGAGTGTACTGTTTTTTGTTTTGCGGTCGTAAACTTTTTCTAGGATCTATTCATCAATCCACATCACCATGATCATGAAGAGTTTATGCAAGCCGAATCGTAGGTGGGTATTTAGCACGTGTAACGTGAATGCTGAGCAACATTATCATTCTCTTGACAGGTCTGCGGAAAAATTTTTCATAAAACCGGAAAAAAGATAGTCCTATAACGGGTAAACATACAAAGACACACAGTGAAGAAAAGAATAGGGACCTCAACAACGGTAGTATCGATGGGACATGCATCTACACTAATGTGGACATGCTGAAGAATCTATTCTAAGCTGTACGTTCGGTAGATTACTTTTCTCGAGTTTTACCCAATTTAATAGTTAACTGTGGTTTTGCCTGAGCTTACTATACGGTTTTTTTTCCAGTTTTTCAAGTAAAGGCTAGTTCAGTTTATTTCATCCGTTTTTAGTGTATTTTTTACGGTCTTAGGCTTTTGCTAGCATCTATAACACAGTTTACGTCAATATAGTCATGGAAAATTCATGCAAACGACCTGGATGCCGTTTTGCTGCTACATCTGGCATGCAGTGCGACAACTGCAAAGGTTGGTTCCACGAAGCGTGCACAGATCTCACAGCAACTGCTTACAACAGACACAGCAAGTCGGATCATAAGTGGGAATGTGTTACGTGCAGCACGGATGCCGTAGTTTGACTGAGTAATATCATTTTCCTATTGACAGGTCTGCGGAATAAGTTGTCAGCAAACTTGGAAAATGACAGTCATAAAACGGGTAGACAAACAAGGGCGCGCGAAGAAAACAAGAATAGGGATGTCGACAGGTATACCATCGACGGAGCATGCATCGGCACTAATGATGACACGTCGAAACTCAGCACCATCATTACGTCTACGATAATAGACTTCCTCAGTAAACTCGGGTCTCCCAGCTCAGGGTCCTCGAATGCAACAGTGGTTCCCAAAAACTCTGTAAGTGATTGGACCAACGTTAACAGAGCTAAAAAGAACCAGGCGTCAACGTCTAAGCTGAACATCCCAAGTGTTGTACGGAAATCAACTGGTGATTTGGTCGCACAGTCTACTCCCAAGAATGTCCGTCCGCTCATCAAAGAGCCTAGGATTCAGAAACGTGCTTCGACCTTCAAACAGCAAGGTGCTGAACCTGAACGCGCCGGAAAACCTGGGAAAATAATAACGCTTCGTGATGACTCTCTCATAATCATGAACCTGAAAGACAACCCTGACCTTCCACTCAGTTTGCAGGACAAAAATGACAGGATGCTTTGGGTGAATTGAACAAGAAACTTGAACTTCTTAGAATAGAGCCTTTGACGGTCACACGGCTCACTCGAGGAAAGAAACATACGTATATTGGAGGTGAAAACTCAACTGAAGCTCAGTTCTTCAACCTCATTGAGGACTTGGGATTATATGAAAATATGAAGTCGGCAACTCGTTGGAGAAACAGTCAGACATCATCGCACTCAGACTGTGTATTTACAAACGAAGAATTTCTAGTTGACAACCTCTCAATCCTGGCTCCCCTGAGGAAAAGCGATCACGCCGTTATAGCTTTCAGTTTTGTCAGCAAAACTGAGCTAAGATATCCCATTAACAACATGCGCTGGATTTTCAAACGGTTGAATGTGTCAACTCTACATGACTATCTACAACAGGTGGTTTGGGATGCTCACCCTCAACTCGATGTGGACGCCCATTGGGACTTCTTACTGCACATGCCCTTATGTGCTACAAATCATTCAGTTCCTCAAACGGTCCCCAAAAGCTGCAAACAACCTACAATCATCAAGAACCGCACTCTTCGCCTGCTAAGCTGCAAAAGGCACTGATCGGCAGAATACAAACGAACTGACAACAACGGAGCGTACAGGCAATACAAACATATAAGGAACATATGCACGGAGGTTATAAGAGAAGACAGGCTTCAGTACCAGATAAAGTTTATGGATAAATTTGTCACTAATCTGAAAAGCTTATTCCGTTATGCAGCCTCTCTTCGTCAAGCCAAAACTGGAGTTTCCCAACTGCTAGGTCTTAACGGCCCGACCAATAACGACGGCGACGCCGCCTACCTTTTGGCTGAACAATACTCTCGGACATTTCAACCGACCCACATCAACCACACTGATGACAGTTTTATCTGCAACTGTAAAGTACTTTCCGAAGTGAACCTAAGCGCTGACTTGGTGTTCCGGAAACTGCAGCACTTAAGAACAGACACTTCTCCTGGCTCGGATATGGTCCATCCTGCTATACTAAGGAAAGCAGCCTCAATCCGGGCAACGCCGCTTAGCGTGATGTTCCCACACGCGCTAAGCTGAGGAAAACTACCGGAAAATTGGAAGCTAGCTCACATCTTACCAATTTTCAAAGGAGGTCGACGCAGCGAACCTTCAAGTTACCGGCCTGTGGCTCTTCTCTCAATACCTTCAAAATTCATAGAGTCCCTGATATGCGACGGTATATATGACTATTTACTGTCCTTAAATTTCTTCTCACCCCAACAGCATGGTTTCAGAAGGGCTACTCTTGTATAACCAACCTGCTGACTGCGGTGGACAGATGGACAAGCATCCTCGATCGCAAGGGGAAGGTTGACACCATCTACCTAGATTTCTCAAAAGCTTTTGATAAGGTTAACCATATATGTCTTATCAATAAGCTCAAACGATTGGGTATCAGACCACCTCTAATTAATTGGCTCACTTCATCTCTGAAAAATCGACACTTTAAGGTCAGGACTAATTTCACTTTTTCTCAGGTTATGGAATGTCCTAGTGCGGTTCCCTCGGGCTTAGTACTAGGACCTCTTCTCTTCTTGATCTACATAAATTATCTTCCTCAACAAGTAACGTCAGACTTATTACTTTTTGCTGATGACGTGAAACTTTGGAGAGAGATATGCAACCAAGACGATATACAGGCACTTCAGGAGGATCTGACTCGACTTCAAAGTTGGGCAGACGATAACGGACTTACCTTTAACACTTCAAAGTGTAAAGTAGTCCACCTGCGACATGTCGCAGACTACAGTTACAACTTAAGGAATTCCTCTCTATTAGTATCCCAAGCAGAGAAAGATTTAGGAGTCCTGGTGCCACACGATTTAAAGTCTTACGCTAACTGTGACAAAAATACCTTTCGAGTAAACCTTGCACTGGTAACATTGAAGCGCATTTTTGGCCAGTTTGACGGAAGAACTTTCCATATAATCCTCAATAGTTTTATCCGTCCCCATTTAGAGTACGGAAACATAGTACTTCCTCCCTCACTCCAAAAGGGTAAGGACACTTTGGAGTGTATCCAACGGCGAGCCACGAAATCAGTTCGAGGACTCAAATTTAAACCTTATAAAGGGCGCCTCCAATCACTTAAGCTTTACCCATTAGAGTACAGACGCCTTAGAGGTGACCTTCTGATGGCTTATAGTATTCTTAACACTTCTGGACATCCTCTTAAACCCCTGCTTAAGCTTAGTTCCAACACTAACCTAAGGGGTAACACCCAAAAATTGGAGACACAACATAGCAGGACGGACTGTAGACACAACTTCTACTCCTTAAGAGTTGCCAAATGCTGGAATTCGCTGTCGGCCAAGTTAGTCCAAGCGACTTCTCAGGAGTCCTTCAAGAGGCAACTTGATCTATTCTTAAGGACTAAGGATAGTGTCACATTATGTTGAATAAAACCGTTGAAGATTATGTGGAAAGTCACTCCGCCATACTAGCCAAAAATGTGCTTCGGTGTTACCAGTTGAAGGTTTTTCGGAGGACATTTTTGTCGCAGTTAGCGAAAGACTTTAAATAATAGGATTCCAACATTCAGAGCTTTTTCAACTTGGGATATTTCTAGAGGGAGTTACCTAACTCGCAGTTGTAATCTGCTACGTGTCTCAGATGGACTAGCTCACACTTTGAATTGTTAGAGGTACGTCCGGTGTCATCTGCCCAACTTCGAAGTCCAGTTAGATCTTCCTCAAGTGCCAGTTTATCCTCTTGGTTACGAACTTCTCTCCAGAGTTCCACATCACCAACGAAAAGCAATAAATCTGATAATGCTTACTGTAGAAGATCGTTTATGTTAATCGAGAAAAGAAGAGGTCTTAGTAATGAACCCCGAGGAACCCCACTAGGGCAT